AGGCTCTTCTTGCCCCCAGACTCTCAGGGCCATCCTCTCCATACCCGCACAGGGTCCCCGCACCCAAGTGGTGCCTACAGGCGTGTGCCCTGGCACCCTGGGATCTCCTGGAGGGCAGCAGGGAAGTGTTCTGGTCACCTCTGTCCCCTCCAGGGCCTTGAACAGTGGCAAGCAGGGCTTATTTGTTGGAGACCTGCAATTATTCTCTCATGAAGGTGTCCAAGGGCCCAGGGCAGGTGCTCAAGTGACCACAAAGTGCATACACAAGCAGATGACACTCTCCAGAGAAGAATTCCCTTTCTCATCCATTTTCTCTGTTCTCAGAGCTGATTACTATCCCTTCCGAGCAGGGCACCAGGGCTCTTTAGTGGCCTCACAGTATCTGCTATGACTCCTAGTGACCAGATTTCCTCTCTGTGCCCTTTGATAATTTCCACCGGCAAAGTGAGGGTAAACACTGGACCAGCCTAGTGAAGACTCTGTGTGTGTGTGTGTGTGTGTGTGTATGCGCATGTGCACTGAAATATGGTGACGGCTAGTCTTGGGCAAAGGCAAAGGAGCGAGGGGAGGGGATGAGACGTGTCACGGTCTGAAGAGAGACTGGGAGGCACGGGGCTCTTCCTCAGCGCTGGTCAGCCCCACTCTGGACAAAGTGGCTGCTGGGGCCAGGAGGGAGAGGTCATTGCACATGGGTCCTGTGGCTCCTGTCTGGCCCAGCTAGGGCAGAGGTTCCGGGGCCAGAGGAGGTGCCTGGAGAGATTGTGTCCTTTGGCACCCCAGTGCACTTGCCTACTGATTCTAGCAACTGCCAACTGACTGTGGGGCGGGGGAGGGTCATGGCAGATGGCTTCCCAGTTAGGGCCAGACTACCGGAGGCAGACTGCTTGGGTTCAGATTTCATCACATTCATTTGCTAGCTGTGCAGCCTTGGGCAAGAAACTTAATGAGCCCCTGTGCCTTGGTTTCCTCATCTGACAGTAGAGTAGTTAAGAACACAGACCCTGGAGGCAGACTAGCTGTTCAAATTCCAGCTCTGCCTCTTACTAGCTACCTATTCTTGGGCAAGTTATTTAATGTCCCCGTGCCTCAGTTTCCTCACCTGTACAATGAAGGCAACAATAATCCCTCCCTCCTAGGGTTGCCAAGGTTTAAATGGAATCATGCACATAAAAACATCCAGCACGGTTTTCCCGCAGTATGAGCTGGGACTATGATCTTTGCCACAGGCTGTGTTGAGCTGAGGGAGGGACGGGTCAAGCTGGGACTAAACCGGAGGGCCCTGGTTTCTGCTTCCTTGAAGCCTCTGGGGTTGACACTGGCCAGTTCCGTTTAATTGCCAGATCAAATAAGATAAGAACCGAGAAAGGCCAGCTGTTCCCTGCCAGTTACCAAGCACCTCTGGGTTTTGTGAGCCTGCTTTAAGTGTGGTTGCTAAGTGGCTTTGGAGGGCAGGGTGGGAGAGGTGGCAGGTCCAAGGGAAAAGACAACCCACCTTCCTGCCACCCCCACTCTCCTCTTTTTGGCACTTCCTAGGTGGAGGTGCCATTCAAGGTGCAGGTGCTAAAGTCTCCAGGGCACTGGGGACACTGGTTGCTGGGGGTGGTGCCCTGTCTGACAGAATACCCCTCTGTCCCAGGCCAGCTCTCCACGCAGGGCTCTCTCCACCTCCATCCCCCCAGGCCCTTGGTGGGAGCACAGTACTTACCGATTCGAACTCTCCATGAGCAGGAGCTCCGGAAATAGGAGTACAGGATGGGCTGAGGAGAGACAGCATGAAGATACATGTTAACCCATGCTTGTGGGGGTTCTCAGCCCCAGAAGCCCGCTGGTGAGGCAACGGCCCTCAGCGGGGGGGCTCCAAGTCAGCAGGCCTCCGTTCCCAGACCCGTGTCTGCAACTCAGGCCAGACTCCGAGCTCCCTGGGTCAGAGGCCTTGGGAGTCAGGTGGGGTCCCTCAGCTCCAAACTGTGCTATCGTGCATCCCTGAGGTCCAAGGGGCCCCCAACAGGGCAGCCAGCCTGCACGTCTTCCTTACCTTGCCAGACTCAGTCATGGTGTTGTGGTGACCCTTGGCCTCTCAAGGAATGTCCCCTCTCCCAGAGCTGCAGAGCAGGGGGAGGAACCCTGAAGGGGTGGATCCCATGAGCCAATGGGGAAGCTGGGCTAGATAGGCTTCCGGGGAAACTTTGACTCTGGTCAGAAAGGACATCTCTTTCCAACTTGTGGGAAGTTTTCTATGTTCCCGGTGGAGCCAGATTTGGTGTCTTGGGCAGACAAGGTGGCCTGGTTTTGGAAGCAGTAATTCACGTAGTGTGGTGCACTGGATGCTGGCATACCTAGGGTCTGGTCCCAGTGCAGGAACTAGCTCTGTGTGACCTTGGGCAGATCCCTGCCTTCTCTATTCTCTAGTCTTTTCTCTCTCATCTGTAAAATGAGGGGTTGCTGTAAGATGATAGCATAATTCCTTCCAGCAGCAACAGAAAGACCAGGAATTCTAGTTCTTTCATGCTGCAGTGCCCGTCTCTCTCAACCCACCACCCACCCATCAGTCCTTTAGGATGGTCTCATAAAAATAGCTGGGGGATATGCCCATGGACTCCAAAGCTAAGGTCACAAAAGGACAGCCTATAGTGTATTGTGTTTGGTCTACTTATATTTAAAAATGTTCCGGGGTGCCTGAGTAGCTCAGTCAGTTGAGCGCCCACCTTCAGCTCAGGTCATGATCTCACGGTTTGTGGGTTCGAGCCATTCACTGGGCTGTGTGCTGACTGCTCAGAGCCAGGAGCCCGCTTCAGATTCTGTGTCCCCTCTCTCTCTGCCCCTCCTCCACTTGCACTCTGTCTCTCTCTCTAAAATAAATGAACATTAAAAAAATTAAAAATGTTTCTAGTTGGTTGCCAACGTTGAAAAATCAAGATGTTTCGTATATAAGCCCTATTGTCTGTTTTTTCTTAAAAAGATCTGGAGACAGTGGACTCGGATTCTTGAGTAGCAACAATTGATTGGAGACAATTACTGGCCTCCTTCAGTCAGGGCATGCCCTCTCTGGTCTGCCATGTTCCTTACCTGGCCCTCTTCTCTCATTTTTGTTACCCTGGAGGAGGCTGAGTGTGTGTGTGATCTCTCCTCTAAAGTTTAAAAGACTCAAAGTTCATTTCTCTGGTCCTTCTCGGGTAGTCAGCATTTCAAAGCAGGGCCCAGGACTAGTAATTAGTTAGCACTCATGAATCTCCAGGCAGACACGTGTGTATCCATATGGATGAGGGAGAACACAACGGGATTTCTAGATCACCTCTGACTACCATCCCTTTGACTACAGACATTTCCCCCAAGTTCCCTCTCCCTTCTGCACCCCTGAGCACACCAAACTGCTCTGTGGCCCTGCCTTCACCGTCCATGAACCATCAACTCCGTCTTCTAGAGAGGGCCCAATCCTCTCTAGACTACATCCCTGAACTATCAACCAGGCCTTCCCAGGTTGGTTTCTGAGCCTGGGAGTTCCAGCCGGTACTGGAGGCACCTTTTGTGGGGAAAGTAAAGATGGCTCTGGTGCAGAGGGCAGGTGATAGACGGCAGGTGTCTTTGGAAGCAGAGGAACTAGGTGGCCACGACTAGATGAACCCTATTCAGAGGTACATCCCTTTCCCTAACAGGTCAGGCTGGAGGGGCTCCTGGGGCCAAGAAGCAGGGGCTGCTGGTGAGGGCCGGGACCACTAGAGAGCCTCAGACATTAGCTTAGAATCCTTAACGAAATGTCTTACCTAATTACTGAATGTTACATCTTCACCTGTGCTGAGGGTGACCACAGAGTCACTGCGAATGCCACTGCCCCCAGGTTTCCTACTTATGGGCCATCAGGAAACGTAGCGGAGAGCAGTTTCTGCTTTTCCTCTTACCAGTGATAATTGCGTCAACTACCCTGTGCTCCCTTGTGCACTTGTAGAGCTAGATTTTAAGCTCTCATCACTACCCCTGGAGGAACTTCGTTCCCAATTCAAATCTGGATTCTGACGAGTCTAGCAGATTTTATTTTTAAACCATTTCTCACGCATGTTTTGAGAGAACGACTCCTAAAATCCCATTTGTGAGTGGGAGAGCTATATATTATTACGGGGATGCTGTATCCCATCTGACATGCCCGCTACCTTCCTTGGTGGTTCTCAAACTTGAATAAGACTTTAAAAGTTCATCGGGGGCGCTTATTAAACATGCAGATTCTCGGGCCCCTTCCCCCAGAGGTGACACCGTGGCTCTGGGCCAAGCGGGGAGGCGCTCCCCAGGTGCTGGCAATGACTTAAAGCGTCCAGGTGCTCTCTCATAAAGCAAACCACCTGGGAAGGCCCTAGGTTAAGTGTTAGGACCCGTCGGGCCGACCGGCTGGGAAAGACCACACGGGCTGTACGGAAGAGGGAAGAAGGGGACAACGTCTTGAAAACCTAGCAGAGAGAACGGTAAGAGGCAGGTGGAGCGCGAGGGTACAGCGACTCCACAGCGCCCCGCACAGTCCACCAACCCGCGCCGCCTCGGGCCCAATCCTCTCCAGACTACAGGCCCCAGCGGGCAACAAAAAGCTGGCAGCGCGCAGGCGCAGAGCGGCGCCAGTGCGGCGCTCTGCATGCCGGGAGCGTGCGTTGTCCAAGGTCACCTTTAGCCCCTCCCCGGGTTTCTCAGTGTTTCTAAGTAGTTTCCCTCTCCCTGTATGCGTGGCACAGACCTTCCCCGCTTGCATCTCGCGCCTGGGGCCACCCCTCTTCCAGGCCCGGAGACTTCACGTCTGGGACTCTCCGACTCGTCGACGGCTGTGGCCCTGTGAGACCCCGACACGTCAGAACTTACACTTCTGTTGTGGTAAAGCTAGGGGTTGGACTAAAATGATCTTTAAGGGCTCCTCTGGCTCGCCCCGCCCTGCCGCCACGCCCCCACTCCCGGAGCTGCTGGGAGTTGCAGTTCCTTGAGCCCGTTTTCTCCCTGGCCGGCCCGCCGGGCCCGCGCGGCCCGTCATGCTCTGCGCCACTAGCCGCCTCTTAGCCGCCCGGACGGCGACCGCACTCCCTGCCCAGCCCAGAGGCCGGGGCCCCGGGGCCCGCTGCCGGCGCAGGGAACTACATTTCCCAGGGCACCCCGAGCTGGACCTGAATGACTTCTTGACCGGGC